TACGGGAGCATGATGGATTATTCCATATGCCGCAGGGTGACAATACGTAAAAATTCGGCGTTGCGCCTTGAGTTTGGCAAACTCGAATCGAAGGTGGTGTTGTACGTGCATGCCCACTTCCTTGTGCCTCCGCTGTAAATTAGACAGCGAGAAAAGTTTCCGCTGCCGCTGCACCCACCGCTCAAAGAGCTCTTCATCATCTGCTGCGTTTTCGCCAGGGGCGAACACCACAGGAATAGTCCGCATTGCGGGCACAGCAGCGCCTCCTCTTTGAAATTAAAGCCGAGCGCGGTTGGATCCATCGGGATTTCTAAGAATACCAAGAAGCGAGCTCGGAGAGCTTTTTTTGGTCAAACTCGGCTTGTGTCGTGGACGGGTCCGACTACATAGACGCCTTGCGATCGAGTGATCGCGTCTTTCGCTCTAGTAGCGGAATCTGCCGAGCGGAAGCCGTATTCCACACGAGGGGAGGGTCTAGGACCGACCTTGAATGCGAGAGTATGAGAGTCACCCTGTTGGCAGCCTCCAAGTGCTGCTCCTGTGCCTCGTCGGGGTGATTGGTTAAAATGCCAATTTCTTCGGAAGTCAAGAGGTCGGGAAACGGAATCGGTGTCTGCAAGGTTCGAGCAGGGCTCACGTCGTGCCGCTGGCGCACATTGCCCTCCTCTTCTTCCCATCCTGAGAAAGGAGTATCCGACTCGTAGTCGACTTCCTCCGAATCTTTGACGAGGAAATCCGTCACCCGTGGCGATGCCCGGTTCCCGAAGGCTTGGGATGTGCTTCCCGTGAAGCCTCGGACGTACTATCCGGATATGCACCGCGTGTAGGAGACATAAAAGGGATCTGCCCGCGGACGCTCTCGTAACCAGTGAGGCTGGGTGTTTTTCGTGTCTTAGATACAGTTTATTGAGCAGAGAATGCGTGAAGAAAGGTTGGGGGCGTTTAGCTGTCATAGATTGCGAGCCTCGCACAATGCGACAAATAAATGTGAATCGTGAGTATTCACAATTTGATGGGGGAGAGCGTAATGGGATTACACGTACCCTGGCATGAAAGGGGGGGTCACACAAGATGGTGTGACCGTACAAACATGTGAATTACACAAGACGGTGTATTCACACAATGGTGTGGCTACACCATAACAAGAAGTCACTACGTGGCGGGACTGCCAGTAGTTATGCATATTGATTAGGTGTTACTATTTAATTGGGAAAGCTTGAGATTTGAATATAGGCAGCTTTGCCGCAACTAAAACAAATAAATACGTTTCAAATTTGAACGAAAGAGTGTATTTGCCTTCGGTTAAGGTTTTAAGTACTATTATAGGTAGCAGATTGTGATCCGTTACGCTCGTACTGGTTTTAGTATCGAGCTTAAGGTCGGTGAGCTTAGTGAGCTTTCTCTAAGCTAAGAGCTATGGCAGCCCCGCAGCATAAACCCTCACGAGTGGTTTTACCGCCACCTTTACAAGGGCTCAAAACTGCCCCAGTAAACCGCCCATATCTACTGGGTTCCGGCGTTTCCCAAACGCCTCGTGGTTTTTGTACCACGTTACTCGAGACCATTCCGACGAGAACCGTACTGAGAGGTTCGTCTCTCACTTGGACAATCACGGCGGATGAGACCGAATTGTTGGCAGCCGTTACAGCGAACTTGCTGCCTACGGACAGCTGCCGCGCTAGGGCCCGTTAATTCCGAAATTCCGGTAGCAGCAGTCACTGCTTCAAGCGGGTGGAACGATTGACCACAAGCTTGACGCTCACAGTAGTCTGCACGCAATGCAATCATAATCGCATCTTCCAGAGTCGTCGGACTCTGGCGCAAGACTTCAGGCTTAGGAGGACCATAATTGAGTCCCTCCATAAACACGGTAATGATCACTGCCTCTGGTAGTGGCTCACTCGATATGCTGTCACGAAGCTCCCAAAGCTTCTACATCAATTCATATTTTTACCGCGGGGGCCATTTGTCGACCCTGTGTAGGAGGTGCGTAGTCGCACAACGTTCCGTTGTCTTGACGGCGTGACAGAAACTTTGGCCGTTCCCGGAACACTACATTCGGTGACAGAAACATCAATTCCATGGCTTAGTTATGCTCCTGTCATGTAAGCAGCCGGGGAAGTTGACTTCCCACGTCATCATCCACTTCTTCGCACGGCCATCCAAATACGACATGGCAAAGGCCACTTGACTAAGGTTATCACGAATTTAAGCGATAATGTCAATAATGCTTGATCATAGCAAAATTTGCTAAGCCTAGAAGTATCGCTTCTTGATCCAAATTGAGCATATCGGACACCGTAATCTCCGATTAAAACTCGCGGCTTCACCACACACTTCCACTGCGAGTGTGTTCGGAACGACTATCCCTCCCTGTTAATCTGAGGACGACCTCCGCCTGTGGTGTCCCCATCATCTATCAATAAATTCTTTGAAGTAGACGGCTTTGGAATGACTACTGGTGCTACCAAGTGCAACGAGAATTGCCCGTCGTGTACACACACTTATTGAGAAAAGCTTAGATCAACTGGCACGCCTCATCGCTTCCAGCGGGCCGTTGGCTTATGTAGAAGAGAGGTAGGTAGATGACATTTATTTTTATAGTCAAGAGGCTTTTAGCCTCCTTATCCTGATAATTACTTCCAGTTCTGATACAACAGAGCAGAAAGGGGATATACAGCTATACAGGCTGTACAGTTAATGTGGTCCACACATCATGTGCAATGGGACCTACATCACCACTATGAGAGAAGTTCGTGGCACCTCGCACTTCTGACTTCCAAGCGATTCGTGGCTCTTGGCGTTTCTGCCAAGTCATTCTGGAACTGGATCATATATCGATTCAGATTTATAGCCATGAAGCGTTTCACATTGTCAGAAGCTTCAATCTCAGCAGAAAATATGGCTAAGAATTGTTCTTGTCACGAGACGCGCAAATATAGATTTCGCACTCGGCATCACCTATGCTTGTCATACGTTTTTAGCAAAAGCGCTTCATACGTAATTGCACGACATTCCTGAACCGATCGAAACTTTTGGCGGCTTTGCAAAACCCGAAACGTTGATGTTGAAAGTCAGCAAGTCTGGGCTGTGATCCCCACATATCTTAGATATAGTCGCCTCTGAGGGCTTATTTTGATTGCTTTCAACGTCCACAAAGTACAATCAAGCTCTTTTATTCGTTAGAAGGTGTCCTGCGCCTCCGAAGATTTGACCCTGCGTAAGAGGTTGACTGTTTATACTTCCTATCAGCGAGAAGAGGATACACATGGCGTAAAGTATTGGTTTTCCCGCAAGTGGAATTCTTGCAGATCCTTCAACGCTGGCGGGCGATTAAAAGTACCTAAAAATCTGTCGCACCTGAGCGAATTCATGGGACTGATAGTCGCTTTCAAACCATTGATTACTAACTGCGCTAATCCTTCAAGCCAACATAAAATGTAAGATTTTTCTGACCGTGGTGTTGAGCACTTTGTATCAGCGTTTATAATATTAATAAGACTCAGTCGTCGAAAATTGAAAAGAAGTGCAACAAGGATGCAACGAGGATGCAACGCAACTTACACCGATGAAGCTTTTACTCGTAGAGACGCATCGAGAAGCGCACAGAGGATGCGTTCAAAGGCCGATTGGATATATCGTATACTTACACTTGCTCAAATTAGAATGTGTTTATCAAAGTCATTCAGCTATCCATGATAAAAGATGTCTCTCGGGTCACTACCGAGTACTATATATGGTCCTTTATCCAGGTACTTCTGAGGATACTAATGAATGCGTACAGCAAAATACGCTCTATGACATATTTGCCATTTTTATCTACGCGGCCATTTACAAAAACTGAAGAGCTTTAGTCGGCAGTTATTACACAGCACGAAGCTTAATTTAAGCCGCAGTTTTCCTGTTACTGATCTCCGGTTATTCAACTCACTCAGGTCTACATCTCTTATGCTAACGAATCATCCAACCAAAAATAACATTTAAGTCCCACAGCTCTCTGTATTATCAAACACACATATTGATAATTTTTTTTGAGCATTTTATTAAATGATATTTTGACATATTTTTTTGTCAGTATGACTGCCGCAATAAAAAGCTATGCTATACCAAGTGGAGATATCTGCGCGTATCTTAAGGGTTTCTGGAAGCGCAACTTAGAGTGGCGCCATTTCGGATCTGGCTTCCAGCACCTTCGCTCCACGAACAGCGTCGTATTTATTGAAGAGGATGCAGATGCGGCGCGCCAGCCCAACACACAGTGCGTAATTTTCGCTGTCTTCATTGCTATCAGCTTTTTTTGTCTTATATCGTATGATACCGCTACAGGTTTCTGAGATGGTCATTTGGCCGTACGCTGAAGCAGCAGGATCTCGCTGTTGCTTACACGGTGCAGGTCGTCCATTGACGCCGAAGATCATTTTAAAATGCGTTGAAACCTGATGGTATCTTGATCATCAATCGCAGTTTATTCCAGACGAACAAGGCATTTTTATGGAGTGGAGCTTTGAGGGAGTGACATGCCACGGTGTGTTCAAGCCGGAGACTAACGTTGCTATTCTTAACTTTTGTCTTCGTGAATCTGTGGTCACAATCACGTACCGCGTACTCGACGCTAATAGTGAGTTTTGATATTATTGCTGACTACTGGGAGCTCACGAAATCACGCACTGTATGGCAGCGATGGCAGTGTGCATTGTGGACGTGGACAGTGAGCATACACCTACGGTCCAATACGGCAACATGTGAGCAAGTTTGATGGTGTATTATTATATTATGATTTTCTGATTTGATGCCTAGGTACCGTATCAACCCGTCTAAGTATGATCGAACACCGGTAGATTGAGTTATTGCAGATACTCCATACAATTTAGTATTCCTTAACATGAGTTCGTACTTAATTAATCGCTACATTAAGTGAGCAATAGTATAGTCCATGGCATGTAAGCGTATCGCTATCGGAGGCACCTTTGCATGCGATGAAGCCCTCGCTGTACCGCTGCAGTATCTCTTAGCTAATGTATGTTAGCCTGTCCGTCTAAAATGGTATCGGGATGCTGTACGAACCAGTCACGCCGTCATCATCGCCAGTGTAATTGCTCTCACCGCTAATCATAACGTTTTGTCGTGTCCTCAGGCTGTGTGGAATATCAATGTCAATTTACATTGGTTGCGGTATGGCAGTCTCACTAACTTTAACGAGTGGACGAAGGACGTTCTGCACCCTGCACGTTCAGTAGATTTAATTATCTTGCTCGTCCGATTAAGTGACCTTGAAGTGGTGCATCCCGAGTTTCAATCTCTTTGCATGAATCAAGAGAAAGATCAAGCTATCGCTCATAATAGCGATGGAGGTGTTGGCCAGCTTCTTCACAATATTGAACAGCACGATTCCATGACTAATTCTTCTCCTCTTCTGGTATTGTTGTGCCCTTGTCCTCCGGATATGACAACAATGTTCGATGCAATGGAATGCAAAGTTCAAAAGCAAATTAAAACCATGAGACACGTGGATGTGCAGATTTCAAAGCAGCTTCTGGCCCTTTATGACCAGCAATACACGACTCCATACTATGATGTGATTACCGACAAGCGCCAACATTCCCCGTACACACAAGCGATGCTCAATGTTATCAGTCTATCTCTCTGCAGGCAGATTTGTCGTTTATATCGACCTACTAGCAATCCAAAAAAAGTGATTGTACTTGATTGTGACAATACTTTATGGGGGGGTGCAATTGCTGAAGTTGGCTCCATTGGGATCGATCTTGGACCACGATTTCTCTCACTTCAGCGCTTTGTTGTTGCGCAGCAGCAAAAAGGAATGCTGCTTGCACTTTGCAGTAAAAATTTACTAGACGACGTTTTGGACGCATTTACACTACGTCGCGATGACATGGTGCTCAATCTAGACAAGCATGTCGTAGCTACCAAGATAAACTGGAAACCAAAGTCAGAAAATATTGTTCAACTTGCGAAGGACCTTAATCTCGGTGAGTCAGAAAGCATTTTAATACCAACACTTGTTTGACTAATTACTTTTTGTCAAGGGATCGATTCGTTCATATTTATTGATGATAACCCGCTAGAGTGCAGCGAAGTCAAAACGGCATTGCCATCCATAACGGTAATTCCGCTGGGAGAAAAATTTAGTGATTCGGTGCTACTTCACGAATGGATTTTCGATGAATGTTTGAGTTCAAGATCATGTGATACAACCACAAAAAACGGTACAATGGAAGACGCCTCGCGAACACAACTATACCAGCAAAATTTTCAGCGAAATCAACTATGTGAAACTTTTTCGACGCATGAGGCTTTTTTAAGCGCTCTTGATGTAAAAATTGTTTTTGAAGAACTCGATAAAAAACAAGAACTTTGCAACAGAAGCCCATCCTTTACACGAGCTCTTCAGCTTCTCCAGCGCACGAATCAATTTAATACGGCAACGACATTCACAAAGCGTCTCGAAAAAGAAGCATTGCTAGACTATGTCGCTGCATCGGAGAAAATAGTACTTTGCGCACATGTGACCGATCGTTTCGGCCACTACGGTCTTGTAAGTGTGGTACTCTTTCGGTATGTATGCGAGACCAAAGTATTGCGTGTTGACAGCTTTATACTGAGTTGTCGTGCTTTAAATCGTGGAGTGGAGCATGCTGTGGTACGAAAGTTGAGCGAAATAGCAGCAAGATTAGGTGCATCATCGTTAGAAGTAGCTTGGGAACCGACAGAGCGGAATCAGCCCGCGCACGCATTTTTTTCAGGGCTGTTCGATGTGAAGTTTATTGTTGAAGCTAAACGATATTCAGTAGACATTGAGAAAGCTGGGCAGCAATCTAGCCTCTCCCACGACGGCCTATGGATACTTGCAGCAGATAGAGGAAGAAGCGTATGTTTTCTTAAGACAGAGGGCTCTTACCAGCGCAGCGTCATGAAGAACGACTCAATAGAATGGATTCCGTACCTCCGTTCCAATCTCTCACTTCAAAATATAGCTCACAAGGTCATTCTGTGGATGTTGTTATTAAATTTGTTGCCACATTGGCTTACACGTCCACTTATCAAATTCCTAGCTGATACGCGTGACAAGGAGTCGACTGGAATGTTGCGTGTAACTCTTCGTGATCGTGGAAGTTTGGAGCGTTTTCTAAGTCCTGCTCTATCTAGCGCCAAGAATATCGTGGTCCAAGAATCCAGTGTCACTGCTTCAAATATTTGCAAATTTCGTCGAAAGGCACGTCACCAAACAAAATTGGCGCTGGTGAATCACCTTGATAGTGAAGCCTCTCGCGTGATTTGGTCCGCAAACCGACCGCAAGCTCCTATTACAAAAAAACAAACCGTTGCACACGAAGAATCTGTGCCTGTGGTCCGTCTTCAACTCATTTGTAAGTCTCCAGAATGTTTTGCAACGATACAACTTGAAAATCGATGCACCTTTCAAAGATGCCGCATATGCTGTTACCGACTTCAGCGGCTCTTGATGCGCTCAAAACATCATCCAAATGCTGAGGCCCGGCAGTCGGCCGTAAGCGCTTTAAGAGCAGAATTTGCTGACGGTGCTCATGTAGAAGCAGCAAAGATAGATAATTTGACCGTATCAAATACGGATTGGTGTGTAGTTCATCAAGATAAACGTAGGCGCGGAGAGATGTTTAGACAACGTACTTGACAATAGTTCCTGAGCTCCATTAGAGTCTACTGAGTACACTAATTAGTAATAAGTATGAAGGCTGGTGTCGACATTATGGTTTAGTCGCTGTCATTACTTATTTTCGTGTTCTCAGGCGGAGTCTATCCCTATATTTTTCACGGTCATTGCCGGTGGGTCTTTGTCGTAAATAAACCGCCCGTGTAGAGCCTCGTATCTTTCCACCCACAACAGCGCTTTTATTTCTTCGACCATTGGTTTCTTTTTCTTAATCTTCTTAAGAATCTCTTCTGCAGTGTTGCAGTCAACCCGGAAAGCAGGTGACGTAATTCGTTTCAATAGAAGAGGTCGCATATTCTGGAGCACCCTGTAGTAATGCATCGGCAGCATATTCTGCACTGCATGCTTGATATCTACATATGTCAGCACACCTAAAAGTCTATTTCGCTTGATCACTGAGTACACCGCATCTACGAACAACTTGTCGTCGATGTACACAAGCTGCCTTAGGATAGGCAGCAAAATCTTTTTGAGCTCTATGAGCTGAAGTCTTCGTCCACGTAACAACATCGGTACTTTACGGCATATTGTCTCTTTGACAATTTTTGCGTCGGGAAGATGTGGGTGTGGGCTGGGCAACAAGCGTTTCATCTCCGAAACTACCTTTGCGGCATCAATGTTTATCCTGTCGAAACTATTGACTCCTTTGCGACGAATATATGTAACAATAAATTCTTCATATCGCATCAACAGACCGCCATGACCGTAATCTTCCTGATTTTGCCTATAACGTTTTCGAAAAAAATCTATACAGCATGCAACGCTTTTTGACGTGGGCACCAACATATCTGAGCGGCGAAGTTTGAGGTATATCGTCGAATAAATGTGACGCAAAGTGGCGTCTGGATTATTGTAGACTTCTTCTTCTACCATATAAGCAAAAGCCGGGATTAATGTAGGAGTCGTAGTAGAAATAGCACCAATTTTTCGCTTTCGCTGATTGATTCTCGTCTTCCGGCTAGAATCGCTGATTTCAGTGTCGAGAGCTTCGTATAGTTCTTCGACCAATTGCGGATCAATACTTTCGGATTTTCCAAACCGAGTGACCACTACCTCAGACTTCTCGCCAACGGTCTCATTATCCAATATCGATTTACGGTCTATCACGTGAATAGAGTCTGAGCTTCCTTTAAAGACAGGGAGTAAAAGTTTTCTCTGGTCATTGTTGTCTTCGTCAACAATGAGACGAATAAGTCCCTTGGTATGAAATGGTCTACAAAAAGTCGCAACGTTTGGAGTTATCGTTGAAGGATTAGGAAAAAAGCTAAATGAAGATGGCTAACGTTAGCTTGTATCCCAATCCGGTTATAAAACAATCCTTAGAGAAATTTCTTACCTTTTAAACAAGCGAATGTGCCGAGTGTTGGATGTCACATCTAGCGAAGCCATCGCAGAACGCAAAGCTTCTGTGACTGGAATAATACCAGAGAAAAGCCGTTCTGCTACAGCAGCACGATAAATGGATATCTCCAAAAGAAAACTGTCATGTTTTGCAATAGCGACGACTTCCTCCACCGTGCTTGGTTTGGCAAGATAGATTCTCTTCCACCACAGTCTCTGGGCTCCCAAGTCTGCTAACGTCACTTGATGCGAAAAATTATAATCATTTCCTTCCACTTGGTCCGATAAAAATTCATCCTCTTCCATTGCCGCCACCAGCTCCGCTAGATTCCTCCACAGTGTCGAAGCTAGGTTCGGGTTTTTCATAACATATAGGTCGCTTCCACAGGTGTCAAGCGCGTCGACAAGGACATTCGTCAAAGCGAATGATGACACCGCGCCGGCACTAGACAGTTCCAGCAGCTTTTCTAGCGGGTAACAACAGGAAGGATCATTTTTCATCCATCTACGACAATAACATGTGTTGGTATCGACAATAAGACCATATAAAGGTCCTCAAGCGAAGTTTACCTTGATAGCACGGTGACCTGAGCATCTACTGATTCCGGATAGTAACAGCCTAGAAATCGCGCCAGCTAGAGAAAAATATCGTTGAGCCACCAAGCAGAATCTGTCATTATAAATTCGTACCATTCTTGGCCCATGGGGATTATCAGGATTCAAATGATAGAATTTCTCAAGATAATCGCACGCTGGTTGGATGTCCCCTACAAGTACAAGAAGCTGCACGTAATACTCCACAAACATAGCTGAGTTGGGAGTCAACGCCCCTGCTCGCCTCATTGCATTGGTAGCATGCTGATAAAGAATGTGAGCTCCAATTGGTGTTTTGAACAAGAAGTTAGACTCGATCACCGACTCGATATTTTCACTTGCAAAAAACGTATCGCCAATGGGAGGAGACACATCTCCGTTTTCATATTCATCGCAGTCCGTTTCTTCCCGTTTGAGCGTATCGCGAATTTCTTTTGACTCAATTAGCATGAGCCAGTAGCACAAAATGCCAAAAGTTGCAAGTAATCTCGCATCGTTATCAAATTCCTCGATCTTAGCCACAAACAGGCAAGAGCAATCAAATGAGTGAGAAAGAATTAAATAAGAAGTAGCTTACCAACAATATTTTGTCTTGGTACAAATGGTACGCCTCATAGAAATCTCCATGTCCAATGTAAAAGAGCCACATTTCTTTCAAAATCAAACCTTTCTGTTACACCACGATTCGATGTAAAGCTAAATTTGTCGTAAGAAAAGAGTAAAGAGCGCTTACATCTATATGCTCGACGTTTAATGCAGCTTCGTAAAATTCTAGTAGGTCATTACGGTAGTCTGGTTGCCGGCGCAAGATTTCAAGACTGGCCTATACATCCACATATGACAAGACTATTATCGATGCCGCTGACTTGTAACCTTGTATAACGCCATTTTTCAGCACGAACCTCAACACACAGCGAAGGTGCGACTGGGAATCGATGATACATTATCTCCAATACTTTTGCCGCACCTGCATAGTCTCGACCTCCCATTAACTAAAGCAGATATTTAACCAAGATAAATCCAAAAGACTCTCAAATATTGCATCATACCCGTGGCAACAACTCCTCGAGAGCCATACGTAACTTTTTGACTGCACTCTTTGAGTTCATTTTACGCTTCCATTGATCAAAGTATAGATTGGTGTCAGGTTGGTGGATTAGTACCGAGATATGTCGGTCAACACTTTTAGTAGTTGGAGCCAAGCCCGTAACAAGCGGATTTTTCCCGCATAAAACCGAGCCACCATCCTCAGTCTCGCCGAGGGACATCTCGTTATCTGCCACTTGAGTATTAGTTATGCCACATTCGACAATACTTTGCACTTCATCGCCACTGTCAACCAATCGATCCTAAACATCGCCATCACATGATGCATCAATATCTTTATCCACAAATCTATTTTCATTGCGATAGAGCGCGTTTGGGTCCACATCCGAAGTTCTTGCTGATCCCATCGTCATTACCTCATTTTCGTCAACCATTGTATACATAATGCAATTGCTAATTTGAGTAGATTTAGGAACTTTGAGTGGCCAATTTGTGAAAAGCTATCGTTATTGGTCACGCTGCTACAAACCTCTAAAACATGAGTTATTTCAAATAATTACAGAGTGCTGATCGGATTTTTCAAGTTATATTCGTGAGCTCATCATCACGAAAAAAGTGATAGGACTACTGTAACACACAAGATTACAGATGTAGCTCAAGCCAAAGCAGTTTGCATGCACGTAGATAACCCTACTTTAAACAGCGCACCGTGTCACGTGACAAAAAAAACAATAGCACTTATCTAGACTACGAGATCAAAGCTCAATTCACGTCTTCTGAGACACCTCGGCCTTTGCTTGAGGATTTATATAAGTTATAGCTGATGACAATGGGTATGAACAAGTCATCGTATTATAGTCTCACCAGTCTAAAACGACGAAGAATAAATCGAGTCCACAGCATGAAGCTTGTTGTGATGAAGTTAGCTCATGTAAAATTCAGAGAGTACCTACTCAATTCGATCCTTTTCTGGTGATCATGGCGTTGTACACTTCGTAAGCGGTCTCCAAAAAACGGTCCAACTTGCCGCTTTCAGCAAATCCATTAACGTTGATGATAATTCTTGTTACTTGACTTGAAATCTGAGGTCCTGCAGTGACAAAAGTGTAAGATGTACGTACACCATAATACTATACGTACCCCGTTGCACACCTCACAAAATTTATACTGCACTTCTTCGTATTTTAGACATCGTAAAAGAGCAAAAGAATCACGAGCACCCACTGCGCATTGGAAGCATTTCTATTCCTGTTGCGATTATTAGTGCTTGAGCATCATCTGCATCAAAAGTCCTCCTCTTAACGTGCCCATTTGGCTTAGCCGTTGATTGAGGCGAGATCACCGGAGCCAAGGGCTTACAAACCACGCACCATGAAGCAGGTGTATTTTCGACGAAGGTGGTTATAGCAGCTCGCATAAATCCAACCCGGCACACATTCCCTCACTGTGAGTCAAACAAACGGCAATGTCATTTCACAGGATGAAGCCTTCAGTCGAACTGCCTAATGTTGCATTCCATGCACGCTCCCTAATGCTAAGACACCCTACTGTGGAGCTTACGACGACGTCCACTGAGCCATTAAAGAGATGAACCTGGATAAGCAAGCCAATTTTGCCGGTCTGCAAGCGCAAGAGTTGCTGCAACTTTTGCAGACTCAACCACGTCGTGTATTAAGCCTTTAGACGCCACCTGCTCCATTGCGGAAGAGCATTCACACGCATATTCATCAGGGCCTTTCGCTCGAACAGAGAGAGAAATAATAAATCACCACTTATCAAAGTACCGCGGGATATTATATATACAGTGGTTAGGATAATACGCACCCATCCATTAAGTCTGTACATATAGTATTGACTGCCAGCACAACTGCCAATCACTCAGTTTACGCACTGGGTGAAGAAGCTAGTTTCTTTCACCTGAGTTGCGGCTATACAAATGAAGCAGATGTCAGACTAGACAGTTGTAGAATGCTTGACATTAGAAGTACAAAGACGAAAACATGGGGGGAATGATCACCTCCTGTTGCTGCTTGTAACAGCTCCGCTCATCTTTACGAGCCTGATCGGGCAAGCCTCGAGCTTGGATCAATGTCGGACCGCGATCGCGGGTAGAAAGCATATTGCACTGAGTGACCCTGTTTATTTTATCACGGAGGTAAGGGCAGAAAATGTCCCAAGCCGTGACAGAAATGACGCAGAACATTGTTGCCGGGGCGAAGCTTCAAAACTTATATTGTCTCGATGTGAGGGTATCCCTTCCGCTTCACCAGACACTGATTTCTCCTTTGAGAGCCTATCGGCATACTATCCTTTCACATGAAAGTGAGCCACCCCCTGCTCATCGAGCAGTGCCGGCCCAGGACGTCCTCCCACGACTGACACTCGTGAGCCGTTTTGGTTGAGGCGACACGTCATGATTCTGGTAGAGGCTGGGTGATTGGCTGATACTGAGGCAATCCACGTTTCAATTGCGCTCTTAACGCTGAACAATTGTACGAAATTACTTCACGCTATCCTTGCGCTTCCGAGCCTTGTCGCTGTGCTAAATCAGTCAGGTATAGGGGCGAATTGGAACTTTGCTTTGTCGTCAGCAAACGAATTTATCCAAATGGCTCGTACGACCCGGTTTGGCGTAGTAAACATACGTAGAATACAACATACACTTTGGATGATGAACAGTGTCGCTTAATCTTTCCTACCTCCGGTAGAGTCGCAAATTAGTATTTTGGACTCCAGACACTGCACTTATAGGTTAGATTTTCTATACCAGAACATATTGATAAGTTTTCTGTCTGCCTCTGGCATCTGCATGTTGCTCTTGCTGGTCGGTCATAATTGTACGTACTCAAAGCATGACGCTCATTTTTGTGGGGACTGAATCTCGATTTTGCGGCAAATATACTTTTTGGTAGGCGGATGTCAGCATGTTGATCCGTATCGTCAGCTTCTCCTCCACACCGATTGAAGCTACTTTGTGGTGGCTCAAATGGGCAGAGAGGCTAGCCAAACCACTGATGTAAAAAGAATGGATGCGCTTTAATAATGGATTTTTACTGTTGTAAAAGAAAGCCTGGTGCATGACCCGCTATTGGCATTTTCGGATCCAGATCGGCCGTTCCACGTCTTATGTGACATTTCTGTATTTCCAAAAGGCTGGTATTTACTCTGAGCAGTTTGTAACAAGCCTGAATGCGAGATTAGTGTTTTGGCCTCGCCGACTAAAAGCTGTTAGATAGAACCACCCCATTTGTGACAGAAGGCTTCGAATTTCCACTCGGCAAGGTCTGCTTAGCTCTAGCCTGTATGCGGATCTATATAAACCGTGCGCATTGGGCGCAGTGACGTCGCCACCAAAATCTCATACAGAAAACAAAGTGTTAATTCTTCATTACGGACTTTGCTGTTGAAGTAAAGTAAAGCTAGGACAGTGTAATGTGACAGCCAATATTTTTTTTGCGATTCCTCGATTATGAATTGTCGCGTGTCGTATTGGTCACGTTTCTAGGTAACGTGGCGATCCGTACAGCGTACAGACCAGACGTAACATGTGTTGCGTTGCTGAAAGCATAGGAGAACTGCGGTTTGGAGTTCAAATGCTGCTTTTTTAAAGCGTCATTTGCGGGCCTGTACCGCTATGGCTGCATGCTAAGAATCGTGTAAGCCAGAGCTGTAAAAACACAGTGTGTCTCACGATATAATCCTCAGGAGCATAATACTCCTTTGGTTGGTCACCTCCGAAGAGAAGAGATATACTGCTCAATTAGCGCTAAGTATTGGTGCCTCAACGTGTGTAAGTGGGTGAGAATGAACGTATGTATGTGTATCTACGGCAGAGCTCTATATATCCGACTCACATGTAAGGGCGTGGTCATGGCAGGCTTTGGCAGTTTTACCTAACACAGAAGATATTCGCAATCTTAAGTGGTTAAGAGAATAATTAGGTCTCATTTCGCTACGTCTGTGTGCGGTCCGATGTGGCGTGGTCGCAACTTAGTATGCGTAGGTGAATTTACCACATCAGAAACGTTTTCCCCCACTTCAATCATGCTTTCTTTCGCCTGCCTTCTTCACCTACGTGTTGCTTTTATTGTACTTCCTGTCTCTCAGCCTAGCGTCGCGCACCCAGCAGATGACGCTCAATCCCATTGAGATAAACTCACTTATTTTCTTCGAACCAAAGTCGGGCTGAAATCATCAAGAAGACAGCCAGCACAACGCAAATCATGCGTTTTCTAGGCCAGTTGCAGTCGACATGTGCAATTTGGCGATGAGTACGTTGAACAATAATTGCAAAATTTTTGCCAATACAACTGCTACCGGCTAGCCATGTTGGCGAAACATTTTGTCAAACAATAGTTGTACTCACCGGTCACTCGATTGCTGGCAGCAGCGCGGTGAGACATCTTGCTCTGACGGTCCATAAAGACCACGACATCCGTATTACCGAACGCGTCATTTGGAACACCACAAATAATGTCATAGGAATACTTTGCTGACAGGGCGACCTGAAGTGCCACCACATACGGCGAGGGCTGAACCTGTTGACACGTCTCAGAGCGGCGCCTAGAATCAGCCGTACCTCTTTTCCAAAAAATTACGCGACCCAATCGTGAGCCGCTAGCGGTACCTCAAGCCATAAGATGCGATGGCGAATCTCAGAGGGCGTACCTAAGATCCAGCTCATTTTATTTCGGACGCACGCCGAGTATCTCGGAGGTTTTTAACGTGCCACCACAACTGAGAGAGCTCACGAGAGCCAGCCTGCCTCCACAGGTACTGCTCGCTGAGCAAGGTGTGGGCCAGTTCCGCGTAGAACTTTCAGTGGTTTGATGGGTATATCCAGGGCTGTAACTGGTAGCAGGAGATACACTCATTTAGAATTCATGATTCTACGTCGTCGAGATCGCCTTGGGCCTGCGGCCGCATACGACATGGCGCACATTCATCCTCGATCTCCCTTGGGTTACGGGCAAGGTCGTTCGTCGCTGCGCGCTTCTCACTCATGAGTGGCGACCGATCTTGCGTTAAGTATGACTATATGTCGGTAGCTGCTATGGCTCTCTCATGGAGATGAGCGGGGTTGAGGGTAGCAGAAACTGAGACAATGGCTTGCTCTCGACGCACGCTCGTGTTCTGTAAATTGCAAAGGCATTTATGGGTCAACGCCTTGGACGTACGTGCGCTCGCTAAAGCTGACTTATATAGCCCAAAGATGGGTATTTTCACTCAGCTTGCGAGCTGAGATGGACACTTCTGCCAGAGCTGCGTTGGACACTTTTGCCAGCTTAAAGAACCGATATTACATCCTTCGTGGAGGATATGGGCTTCCCCAATCACTGCTGCTCTAAGCGCAAGCGGTAATCCCGGGGAGTGAGGATTCGCAGATTAAGAAAGCGCTCGAGAAGCGACTTTCCTGCCCACGTTTCTGCTTGTTGTAGGCGAATGACCCGCAAGCATAAGCGTATAATAGCTCCGCACCAACGCGACTATCATTTTGAAACGGTTCAACCCTTAGTTACGGTGTTCTGATTTGGGCATGAATTGGCGTGGTTTTTGCGCTTGCATTAGAGCTGGCAAAACTTCGTGAGCAAAATCTAGCCCGTTGGTAACGAGCTGGACACTGTCGTGAGCTCCAAGGCAGGATGTCGGTGGAGACGGAGTCCGAGATTCGTACAGCAGAAAGAAGCCACTTCGTCTCGGGAAAGGATGAGTGAGGGCCAAAATATTTTGTTTGAACACGGACAGTCCATAACACCGTTCTCATATAAGTACACCTTGGCATTCCCATCGAGAATTTCTTTAAGCGCGTGGTCGTGAAGATCGCACCGTTTGTCAGGACTCGTAAAGACGTTTAATTTTGTGTGCGGGAGAAGACTCTGGATCGATTATAGTCTCAAAAGCTGGTGCGGTAAGCGTAGGGGGTGGGATCAGATTCCAAGCACACAGTTGCTCTTGGAGCGGTTCCTTTTGCGCAGTTTCCTGAAACAGTTCGGTCGGAAGGGCAGAATGGAGCATATACGTAATATTGTATACTTACATCTGAAATCGTATTAAAAATAATAGCGCACAGTTGCACGCGATTCCCATTGCAACTTGATGTAATTGTTGATATTCATCAAAATCCAAAGTATCGGTATTTACAGCCACACATCAGAACTTAGAAGAGATTCTTTCTTTTGAGGTATGTTTGTATTTGGTATAGTATTAATTTTATAAATACACTCTTGATAAAGCAGAGCTAGCGAGACACCTAATTACTGTACAGGCTCTAGGTTTTGCTTTTGGGAGCGCACGGATCGAACCTCCGTGCGTTTCTAAAAGCAAAGTGGGTCATCATTTACTAGCGTCAATCTTGATGAACACGATTTAATTGTAAACTGCAAAAAGGTTTTGAGTAGCATTATTCTATTGACACACGATGTACAAGCAAGGCGCGTTCGGCTGGATAGTGTTCATCCTGCTGGCAAGTAGCTCAGGCCGATTGGCTTATTCAGCATTCACGTGGCCGGTCTAGATCAGAAATGGCCAGAATTTGGCGCTACTTTCCATACTTGTCGCAAGTCTCTTAAAATTTAATGAAAAATCTGATTGAAACAATTTTTATAATTTCTATCTAAAATATCTTTAATTTTTTACAAAAGGGTTCAGGAATTTCATCAAGATGTAGATCATAAAATTGCTTTAAATCCTCGACGTGTTCTATATCATCGGAGGTGGCGAAACAGCCGGATCTAAGTCGCCACAAATCGTATTGACGCAGACCCAATTACCCTCAAAGTCGCTCTTCCACATGCGTACAGTACCATCGTCGCCAGAGGACGCCAGCATTGTCCCAGTAACATTCCATTCGACACGCCAAACTTCTGAGTCGTGATGGTGTTTCCGTGCTACCTCCTCTACGTCAGCATGTAAGTGATCGTTCTCTTGAATCGTCAGACGCCAAATGCGCACAGTCCGATCTTTACTCGCTGTTGCCAGCAAATGCGATGATCGGCCCATGTTTGGCGCCCAGCACACATCATGAATTGCGTCAGTGTGACCAGCGAGCTCCACGACAATCTGCCACCTACGGTACGAGTTGTTGTATCCCCAAACTTTAGCCACATCACTATTGCCACCTACGACGATCATTGGGACATCGAAACGCGACTTGTTCCACGACACGCAAGTGGTTCCGTCTTTATCCGCTAAAAACTCTTCCTGCAGTGGCCAATGTGACAAATTCATGACATCAATGGCTTCGTACATACGCACAAATCCATCTTCGGATGCAGTTGCCTATCGCAAAGATCTTAAGTACTTGTTCAGTAAAAGAAAAACAAAACATCAAATTTTGACATACGAGTCGCAATCCCAAATGCCTGGGAGCAAACTTGACGTCGTGCACTGAGTCGCGGGCGTCCACTAATTGTGCTTGATTGCGCCAGCCTTCCTTATTGCCAGCACTTGTAACAGATGCAACTCCATTCGCAGCCGTTGAGTCTGAAGAATTCGCCGATGCATTAAGGTACAACCCCTGGTCTTCCCAGATTGAAACAGTGCGATCAAAAGAGCACGAAGCTAGAATTTGACCAAATTCTGGGTGTGCCCACTCCACCTTCCAGACACTAGCCTGGTGTGCATTCCACTCGTGCTCAAGGCGCCAGTCTTGGCCGTGCTCCTCCCAGATCTTGATTTTGCGGTCCGAACTGCATGTGGCCAATCTCTTCCCATAAAAGTCAAAGCTCATGTCGTGCACAAAATCAGAGTGTTGTGACGGAAACCGCCGAAAGATTTTCTGTAGGAAGAAGCAGGAAGACTAGATTAGCGTATAGCCATCAAGTTGCTAGTCAAAGAGAGAACTCGCCACCATTGCGTCCATGTGCATGCAAAATTGAAAATGATCTCAGTCAGATTCTTTTGATTGGGCTTTAAAATTAGTAAGCTAAGTAATTAATACCAGAAAGTAACATTAACTTGTGTGTAAGAATTCGTTATTTGGTATCTCCACGAACATTTCGACAGAAAAGTTTTAGATGGTACCGTTTCAATCTTGTGCGCAGCAAGTATGAAATTGAAAATGTTTCGTTGCAGTTGTGACCAATCGAACTACAACATTATAATTACTGCCAAACAGAAAATTCTGCAGGTAGTATATGGAGTTTAAGCTGTTGGAGATGACGTACGAGCATGGAGCTGTCAACTTATTGTAGTAGCGAAATGTCCATGCGACCCGTCACGATCAGATTCTCGCATTAACGATATGAAAGCTTTAATATTCTTGAAAGAAATTTCTTTAAGAATATTACCGCACAGCACAGCCATTTTACGGGATTTTTGTTTTGGAGATTTTATTGTTGTGTAAAATACACAATGGATAACCATGTAATTTCACATACGCTTTGAAAAATTATAAGCATTATCTATAATGCTACGGGAAACTGATTTATCCTTACATCTCACAATTATGTGCAACTGTGCAAAACTCAGGGTATTGGTGCCAATGAGGACGATGGGACGCCGTAATGGTAAGGTTTGCAAAATACATGAGCTACTAAGCTCAAGTCAGTGTCAGGAGCCAGGTCCCATTGAGAATTATTATTAATTGTCTTTGATTTAACTTGCAGAATTTTGCTTGTTCGTTTCATGGCCTGGCAACTGATTCTGTTCACATCTAAAATTACAAACAACTGATCTGCTTCGTCGCATGCTTGAAGAAAGGACGACAACCTGTACGTAGTACACCTAGAGGCGGCGAGTTTGTGGAGCTTGCAACATGTTGGATCGGCTCGCAGAGATTAAAGGCAAGGCGCCGCCTCAGGACCAGATAACAATCGATGTTGAGGTCTGTGTGTGCATCTTGCCAGTGTTCAATCATTGCTAATTGCCAATCTTGTTGTGTCTTGTGCCGTGAATGACTAGAGGTAAGTCGTGTCTTCTGATTTTATACGAGGGTATTGAGGAGCTCATTTTGGTTGCATTTATATGTAGTCGGGGCGTTGTTCGACCAAAATTTATGGAAACGTTCTTTAAGGATGTCGAAAGCATGCAGATGGACCTTGCTAACATAAGGTACATTTGTGCTGTTCTTGCCTAAATAATACGTTTATGTAGAATTTACCTGTGTACTTGGCTGCCTATCGAAAAAGCCTCGCATCGCAGCAGATTACGGAGCTTAATAAGAAAGCTATTCTTGCAACATCAAACATCGAGGAGCAAGGTTTATGAATCATATGACTACCATTGGCAAGTCGTAGCTTTGCTAAATATCATTTTGATTACGCAGTGGTCAGTTCTGAGCTCGGGTTTGTGATCGAGACCACAAATCGCTTAGCTGCACATGCCAAAGGGTTACTGGAAAGACTCAAAAAGGAATCGGCTGAGAAGAAAAAAGAGAAGAACACACCGTTATCTGAAGTTCGGTATGATCCTAGCGATCTTAACTTGCCAATTGGTAGTAGCTCACTAATATTCACGCTTAGAATTCGCGATAATATGTGCGCCACGCTGACGAAGAAGTTCATGGATGCCATGAAAGACTATCAAAAGGCTCAACAAAAGTACAAGAGCGATATGAAAAACAAAGTCAAACGTCAGGTACAAATTGTGAAACCAGACGCGTCCGAAGCAGAGATTGACGCTGTTATGCGATCCGGAGATCCTGGATCGATTTATAAAAGCGCCATTTTGCAAGGCGGTGCTGCGGAATCTATCACCGACGTTTTCCTACATTGCCAGGATAAGTATCAGGACGTGCTAAAGCTAGAGCAAAGTGTGGCGGAGTTGCATCAAATGTTTCTTGATTTGGCGTTGCTCGTAGAGCAGCAGGGTGAGTTGCTTGACCAGATTGACATTCAAGTGCGCACAGCTGCCAATTATGTGGAACAGGGCAACCAAGAGGTGCAAAAGGCCATTAAGTATCAAAAGTCTTATCGAAAGAAAATGTGTTGTCTGCTTGGCGTAGGCGTCTCTATTCTTGTGGCAATTGTCGTCATTGCGCTGTTACTTAAGAAGGCGTCGTGAAAGGAGAAATTTAATAGATGATTTTGTAGTAAGACATTTATTTGATTTGCATTTTATTGAATAGTTTCATCTAGTATGACGTTGGTCGTCTGTTCATGCTAAAAAAATGTATGTTTATTGCTCGAAATATATCGTCTGGATTTAAACGTTTTTGTCGCAAATGACACCCACATATCTGACCAATAAGCGTGGGTAATCTCGAATTTTCTAGTATTTTCGCGAAGGCTTGGCATCCACTTCAACCTATGAAGCCCCACAATCGAATTTACCAAATAAAGCGCAAGAACACTAACTTTAATACACACAAAAGTGAAAATCACAATCCATGGGTAAGGATTACTACGCAATCCTCAACGTTGCCAAAGGCGCATCGGACGACGAATTACGCAAGGCGTATCGCAAGCTCGCGTTAAAGTGGCATCCGGACAAGAATCCTAACAACAGTGATGTGGCTCAAAAAAAGTTCCAGGAGATCGGCGAAGCGTACGAGGTTCTTAGTGATAAGAAGAAACGCGAAATTTACGACATGTACGGAGAGGAGGGCCTTAAAGGTCAGCCCGCCGGGCCTGAAGGACCCGAGGGTGGCATGCCAGGTGGTATGGGTGGTGGCATGGGCGGCATGCCGGGCGGCTTTACTTTCACGACGTCCTCAAGTGGCTTCCCTGGTGGCAGCTTTTCATTCCACTCGTCTGACCCGTCCAAGATTTTTGAGCAATTTTTCGGCACGTCGAATCCTCACGAAGCCGAGAGCAACGATCCAATGGCTTCCATGTTTGGCGACATGGGCTTTGGTGGTATGCGTGGTATGAGGAGCGGGGGATTTGGTGGCCGTGATCCTTTTGGTCAGCAGCGTCAACCACGCGCACAGTTATTAAAAAGTGAACTGGATGTGCCGCTGGAGCAGTTGTTCACTGGATGCACCAAAAAGCTAAAAATCACGCGCAAGGTGCACGATCCGAGTTCAAATCAAATTCGTGAGGAACAGAAGATCTTAGAAATCAACATTAAGCCAGGTTGGAAGGATGGAACGAAGGTGACTTTTGAAGGCCAGGGTGACGCTATGCCTGGACGACCGGCTCAAGACATCGTGTTCGTGGTGAAGGAAAAACCACACAACAAATTTAAACGGGAGGGTGACAACCTCAAATATCACGCGAAGTTGTCATTGCGTGACGCATTATTGGGCAATGGAACACTAACAATAAAAACTTTGGATGGGCGGGAAGTTCCTGTTCCACTTGGCGGTGTAATTTCTCCCGGAACTCAGCTAGTGATTGCAGGTGAAGGCATGCCACTACAAAAGAGACCGTCGCAGCGAGGTAATTTGATAGTGGAGTTTGACGTGCAATTTCCCACTCATCTGACAGATGCCCAGAAGAATCTGATACGCCAAGCCTTGTAAGCTAAGTTAGGTTCAACAAATACTATTATTACGAATGTAACACATTTTTAATAAGAATTTAAAATGAATGTATTTAAATATTTTAATTTTGCAAAAAGTACCTTCCTTGTTTAGATTCCAGATATTCCTCAGGAACACTTTTGATTGTCATCAAGTTGACCATCTTCTCCTAAGGTCGAGCCCGATGGCTTTTTTCATGATACACTGCCAAGATCGATGTGAGAAGTTTCAGATATACTTTGGCAGTCCTGTTTCTAACGTGTCAGTAGCGCATGGGGACATATAATATACACTGCAAATCCACTTCGTTCCAAATAAAAAGTTCATTTCTCCTTAACTTTATGAGTATTTTCTGTCTTGGATTTCGGGTCAGCAAACGCATTAGCTCTTACACGGCCACAACCAGCATAACAGCAAAAGTGGATAATAAAATTGAGCTACCATTTCACATAGTGCCGCGGCGAATGTGCTGGTATACGAGTCCTTCAGGCGTAAATTGCTTGTAGCCGGAGGAGGCAGCCCAGCTCTGAATATTGATGTCGTCCTTTGTGGTCTTGACAACCTCTGCTGCCTTTTTAGCTTGTTGCTCCTTAGCTTTGGCCAAAATCTTGTTAACGCCATCGGCGAAAGCATTAGCATTATCGCCACATTCGAGCTTGAGGACATCAACTTTAAGCTGCATCTGATCAATTAACGCTACGTTCTCCTTGGCCAGTTTGCGTTCCATACGACGTCGCTCGCTGTTCAAACCCGAAAGCTGCTTCTGCAAACGATTGACTAGATATTCTTGCTCTTGCTCCAGCTCGTTTTCCAAGTGCACCTTTTCGTGTAGAATCTTGGCCACCTGAGACTCAAGCGCCTTTCGGACGCCATTGTCCTCATTCTGCAGTTCTTGTAAAAGTCGTTCCTTCTCCGCGCGTGCGGTATCTAGTTGCTTCGAGAGGCGATTGACAATGTATTCTTGCTCGTTCTCTAACTTGTTTTCTAGATCAATCTTTTCCTTGCGCAGCTGATTCAGCTTCTTCTGCAAATTATTTGTCAAAAGCTCTTCTTCGCGCTCCACCTCAAGTGCCAACTTCTCTTTCTCGCTTTTGACTTCGTGCAGCCGCTTTATAAGGCGGTTAGTCATGCGCTCCTCCTCAAACTCAGTCGACTCGCCTAAGGCCACGAGAGAAGCTCGCAGTGACTTAACCTCAAGCTCAAGTGCCGTCGTACGTTGGCGCTCTAAGATCAGCAGCTCCCGCACGTCATCTTCGATTGGAATGTTTGCCATGATGAGTGTATAGCTAGATTTTCCTTGCGTGGGGCGATGCTATTCGAGAATTACGAGTTGTACTGGCTATAGAAATAAGGACAGAATATCAGCTTTGACAGGAGGTCGATGATCTCAGCTGTGAGTCTTTTGAAGCTGAATTAAATCTGACAGGTACTAGGTATCTAAAAATTAAGCTGTCGCTCATAGTAATTTTGCGACATTTTTTTTCGAAAAGCTTTTTACATTAATATATATCTTCGAGTATCTACTCAAGAAATATTAAGTTTTTTCAAAACTTTGTAAAGCAGGAAAAATTTGCTGAAATAATTCTCTATAGGGCAGTGAGAATATAGCGTTATTCTCGTCACAATCTGAAAATTCCTGTTTTAACTATGATATTAAGAATTGTTAAGGTGTCAGATATAACAATTATCAGAATTATGCGAGACTGGCAGAAAATGGCATTCAAGTCTCGGAAAAAACTATGCAAACTTGCATTCCAGTAAAGGATGTATCGACATCCGTTTCATCCTACATGTGCAGCATGTTCCACAGTTCCAAAACATTCGAAATAGAATAGAGGTATGCTCTCTGGTATATTCTGAGCTCACTTTCAATTTCCCCATACTGTTGTTAACAATCTCAGCTTCAGCGGTTATGAGCCCAACCGCAATGCTGACAGGAAACAACAAAATTTTTACTGACGATAACAGCAATTTGTATGAGCTTTTGTAACGGGGTTACACGTACCCTGGTTTAAAAGTGGAGGTTGCACAAGATGGTGTGACGTACAAAGGTTACACAAGTCGGCGTAATCACAAAATGGTGTGGCTACCCAAAACAAGAAACCACTACGCGGCGGGACTGCCATCAGTTATGCATATTAATTAGGTTTTCTGCTTAGTTAGGAAAACCTATCATTATCTTATAGGCGGCTTAGCCGCAAATAAATCAGATAAATATAGTTTTGATTTGAATGGAAGAGTTCATTTGCCTTGGGTTAAGTTTTGGGTACTCTTGGAGGTAGGGGATTGGGATCTGCTACAGTCATACTGGATCTAGTATAGAACGAAGGTCGGTGACCATAAGTACGCTTCTCTAAGCAATGGGCTACGGCAGCCCCGCTGCACTTCGTAGCACTCGTAGTCAATCTACACCTGAGTCCTTACGACTTATCATCTGTTAGGATGGAGCAATTCTCATTTTGCCCCAGGGCATGCAGGACGGGCTTAAAAAGCTGATGTCATTGCTTGGCCCTGGAGGCGTGCAACATCTCGCCTCGCAAGGATCTGAAACGATCAGCGGGCGCCTAGAGGCGTTTTCGAGCTATGAAAATGCTCTGTTAGAGCACCTAAAGCAGAAGATGTCGGTGGTGATTGCGTCCATAATGCCATCGTCGACGACTGACCCCCCCCAACCCAGGCCGCTCATGGTGAGCGTAAAGACTTTCGAGGGTTAAGATGGAGAGAATCTTCAGCTCTTTATGAGAGAGACTGAGATGGCTATGACATCCACCATGCTCTGAAAGGAACATCAGCGCATGGCGCTAGCTATCTCCAAGTACGGTGATCGAGCGCGAGAATGGGAACTGACGTCTGGGGCTTGGGGGGAAGCAGCATGTTCATCCTAGATGGAGCTTAAGCTTCAACGAGTGTTTTCGCCGCCTAACCAGGCATATCGGTGCGATCGCGTTTCCTTGCCGTCCGACAGGGAAAGAAAGAGTTGTTGGGCTTCGTCCAAGCGTTGCGTACTCTCATTGCACGGTTGGCAGCCGATCCTCTCCCTGAGACGATCACAGTGACCGTCTTTATGGAGGGCCTCCGCACTGGCGTGGCCAGAATAGAAGTCTTCTGAGTACAACCGTCTTCTTTTGAGAAAGCGCTAAATGTGGCACTGAATGCCGAAATCAACTTAACGTCGGCGCGGCTCGATTGGAATGCACACTCTAGCATCTCGTCGAGCGGGCCTGAGCCAATGGATCTTAGCTTTGTTGAGAAAGAGAAGGGAGAGCTCCGATCTGCCGGGTAGCGTTAAAACCCAATGGTGATCTACCTGTGGAGACACCCGCCACCTGCGGACCATTTGTTCCCTGCACAAGGCGCTTCAAGTTTCATTCAACCGACGTCCCACTTCTCACCAGTCTGATTCGTCGCGGGGAAACGGCAGATCTTCAGTAGGGGTGCCCTACTGGGGAAGAATTGAGCTCTGTTGGGCCTTAAAGAGGTAGAGGGCAGCAGTGGCAGCCCCGAAGAGCTCAGTGCTCTAGAACATGGAACGTGTATGCAAGCCGTGCTTGCTGGCCGTAAAAGCGACCGTAAACGGCTTTGAGAAGCCTTGAAAGCTCCTGATCACTTTAGGTGCGTCGGGCAATTATGCTCGACGCTCCACGATGGTATGAATTCAGCTATATGCTGAGGGGCTGAAAGCGAGGTTGAATCGCTGTTCTCTTAGCGACGGGGACTTGTGTCATTTTGCCGAGGATCCCTGTGGACCTCGGAGTCAAGCTTCTTGACTTTGATAGCGTGGAACGCTGCTTAGTCTTAGACTTGGATTTAATGTATGAACTTATTCTTGGCTGTCGAATATCGAAGGTGCTCGTGGGCTGCATGTGTAGTGGCATGCAACCCACTAAGCATTGCCTAATAATCAAAGCAATTGTTGCATGCCAAGAGTGGCATGATCGTACGAGGTCCGATGAGGCCCAGTGATGCGCGTGGAGTGACACGTATTCGACTGAGGCACTGCTCACGTTTCAAAGCGGTTGCTGAATGCTCAGATTGGCATAGTCGGACGAGGCCCGATGCATCTTGGGCAAGATCCTTCAGATTTGTGTGGAGTGCCACGTTATCCACTGGAAGAAGAGCAGCTTTCCGTCAGATGTTGTTAATAACATCAAGGCTCAGATAAAGCAGGGAGTGGGAACACTGGATGACGCTGAGAGCGTGTTCCAACTGGTCTCAATGAGACGTAGAACTTCTATAGAATGGAGATGGCAAAGACATATATCTTCTGCAAAACACAGAAAGTCGACCCTGACCCAGGGTGTCTACCGTAGACGATAGCACACAGTTATACACCCTCGTCAACGATATGACGGGAGTGAAAGCCAGCGACGTTACTCCCGAGGCTATTCTTGCGGTGGGCGCTCTTCTTGAGCTGGACGAGATGTTTTTCGAGGAGTACGGCGGTGCCTTGAAGGAGGGTGATTTAGCCAAGGTGGCAACAAGCAGATAAACTCATCGTTGCTTCTGGATGAAGCTGTCTTGGAGGACACCAAGAGGGCTCTGTACACACGAAGTGGATCGTCGATTCTTCAAAATCCCTCGGATCCGAACTATTCCTTGGTGTAGGAATTTATTACATCGTCTTCAAAGACCCGCCGTCGGTCCTACCTCCGGGCCGAGGTTTGGGCCCCGGCCCAAAGAGCAGTGTGACGTCATTGACCTTGTATGCCAAACACGAGTGTGTGGGATCAAGTCTCCCCCGTCGACATCCACGTTTTGGGTTCGTGAACCGAACGGCAAGTGGCGTATTGTTCACGTTTACTAAAAGCTAAACGCTGTCACCATTCCGGCACATACGCTGATTCCTAGGATGGATGTTTCCCGGAAAAATATGGTTGTCTGTACAAAGTACAGCGCACTCGACTTGGTCAATGGGTATTACCAATTGCTCATAAGAGCGAGTGATATTCCGCTGACGGCGGTGAGTACTCCGAGCGGGATGCTCAGGAAGTGGCTGGTGATGTCCCAAGGGCTGTCAAATACACCATCAACATTTAATCGTCTTGTGACGCAGTTGATTAGGCTCTATCGGGCGTATGCACAAATATACTTCGCCGACATCGTCGTTCACTGTCGTGCGGGACACGGGAGGACAGATGAGGAAAACCATATTGTCCATTTGAGAGCGATGCTCGATGGCATGTGCACGAATAACAGCTGTTTATTATGCAGAGAAGAGCATCTTCGCCGCTGAAGAAATGCCTACTCTAGGGTGCTTCATTACTCTTCGAGCGGATTTTCAAAAGGTCAAGGCCATTGTGGACTGGCCGGTTCCAAAAACCAAAAGGTGTTGTGCAAGTGGCTTGGCCTCGCCAGCTTCTTGTACAAGTATAGTGCAATTATGCGGAAAAAGTACGGCAATTGTCGAATCTCCTTAAGAAGTATGGGGACTGCTGTTGGGACACCGAGCTTCGGGAGGCTGTTGACGGGGTCAAAGATAGCCTCCTTCATGCACCAATACTGGCGTTGCCAGACCCCGATAGTCCTTAAGTGCTATCTGTGACACTACGACGTGGTGATGAGACACACACCACGTGGATCGCTCCCGGATAGCAGTGTGCATACTGAATTCAACTTGGTTTGCCAAACCAAATATTGCATCACATGGCAATGGCCCTAACGTATGACGTCATTAAATCTTTTTTTCGTGCGAAATACATAGCGGGTATGGTGTGAGAGATCAGGTAACTTTTCTCGGTACCTACTTACTCTTTCAGGAAAACCAATAGGCAAGTAGCAAATTTCGCATACACATACTAACCAAATGCAGCCAGGATTCCAGCGCAAACGACGACCAATGGGCAAGTAGCAAATTGTGCATACACATACTAACCAAATGCAGCCAGGATTCCAGCGCAAACGACGATCTTTCAAAGAACTTTGGCGCAGGACACCATGTTTGGCTGCCTTATGCCCAGTCGCGGTAAACATATATTCACGTGTAGCCAACGCCTTTGATTATGATCAAGATTTTCAATTGCTGCTAATAAACAACAATTTCCTCTTACTGCGGTATGTAATCCGAGCGCAATACTTTGCAAATGACCACAAATACTTTCTAACGCACTAGCAACGCTCAATAATACGGTGATGCAGCTTATTAGGCCACATCGTGATTATACACATAAATATATCGACAATACATAAGTGCAGTAGATGTGCAGAGTACCGAGAATTGGATGTAGAGAATCAAATCATACACCTACAAGCTGTGCTTAAGAGTTGCAAACTGCG